GTCTTCGTCTTCGTCTTCTTCGTTTTCTTCTTCTGGTTGTTGTTGTTGTTGTTGTTGTTGTTGTTGTTGTTGTTGTTGTTGTGCAGGTCGACAGCCTGGAGCACGGCAATGGCGCCCAGGTAAGTACCGCTGACGCAGGTATGGCCTCCGTCCCTCTTCTTCTTCTTCGACAGCGTGGTGCACGGCTATGGCGCCCAGGTGGTTCTTCTTCTTCTTCTTCTTCTTCTTCTTCTTCTTCTGGTGGTGGTTGTGGTTGTTGCTGTTGTTGTTGCTGTTGTTGTGCAGGTCGACAGCGTGGAGCACGGCTATGGCGCCCAGGTGGTTGTGGTTCTAGTTGTTGTTGTGGTTGTTGCTGTTGTTTTTGTTGTTGTTATTGTTGTTGTTGTTGTGCAGGTTGACAGCGTGGAGCACGGCTATGGCGCCCAGGTAAGTACCGCTGACGCAGGTATGGCCTCCGCCCCTCTTCTTCTTCTTCTACAGTGTGGAGCACGGCTATGGCGCCCAGGGAAGTACGTCGGCCGCGGGTATGGCCTCCGCCCCTCTTCTTCTTCTTCTTCTTCTTCTTCTTCTTCTTCATGTGGTTGTTGTTGTTGTTGTTGTTGTTGTTGTTGTTGTTGTTGTTGTTGCTGTTCTTGTTGTTGTTGTTGTTGTTGTATTTGTTGTTGTTGTTGTGCAGGTCGCCAGTGTGTAGCACGGCTATGGCGCCCAGTTAAGTACCGCTGACGCAGGCATGTGTTGTTGTTGTTGTTGTTGTGCAGGTCGCCAGCGTGGAGCACCGCTATGGCGCCAAGTTAAGTACCGCAGACGCAGGTATGGACTCCGCCCCTCCTCTTATTCTTCTTCTTCCTCATGTGGTTGTGGTTGTTGTTGTTGTTGTTTAGGTCGCCAATGTGGAGCACGGCTATGGCGCCCAGTTAAGTACCGTTGACGCAGCAATATGTTGTTGTTGTTGTTGCTGTGCAGGGAGCCAGTGTGGAGCACGGCTATGGCGCCCAGTTAAGTACCGCTGACGCAGGTATGGCCTCCGCCCCTCTTCTTCTTCTTCTTCATGTGGTTGTGGTTGTTGTTGTTTTTGTTGTTGTTGATCAGGTCACCAGTGTGGAGCACGGCTATGGCGCCCAATTAAGTACGGCTGACGCAGGTATGGCCTCCGCCCCTCTTCTTCTTCTTCTTCTTCTTCTTCTTCTTCTTCTTCTCCTTCTTCTTCTTCTTCTTCTTCTTCATTTCTCCAGTGTGGAGTGCCGCTATGGCGCCCAGTTAAGTACCGCTGACACAGGTATGTGTTGTTGTTGTTGTTGTTGTACAGGTTGCCAGTGTGGAGCACGGCTATGGCGCCCAGTTAAGTACGGCTGATGCAGGTATGGCCTCCGCCCCTCTTCTTCTTCTTCTCTACTAGGAAGTAATGGAATAACAAATCCTGCAAAGATGGGAAATAATTCAATAATACTTAACCAAGGCAATTGATTCATAATGAAAAATATATCTATTTAAAATTAAGAACATTGAAGAAAAGAATATTCTTTAAAATCTATGATTCATTCAAATTTTTTAAAAATATGTACTTCTTCTTCTTCTTCTTCTTCTTCTTCTTCTTCTTCTTCTTCTTCTTCTTCCCTACTTGGAAGTAATGTAACAAATCCTGCAAAGATGGGAAATAGTACAATAATAACTAACCAAGGCAATTGATTCATTATGAAAAATATATCTATGTAAAATAAAGAATATTGAAGAAAAGAATATTCTTAAAAATCTATGATTCATTCAATTTTTAAAAAAATATGTACTTCTTCTTCTTCTTCTTCTTCTTCTTCTTCTTCTTCTTCTTCTTCTTCTTCGTCTTCATCTTCTTCGTCTTCGCTAGTGTGGAGTGCGGCTATGGCGCCTAGTTAAGTACCGTTGACGCAGGTATGTGTTGTTGTTGTTGTTGTACAGGTCGCCAGTATGGAGCACGGCTATGGCGCCCAGTTAAGTACGGCTCTCTCTCTCTCTCTCCCTGCCCCCTCTCTCTCCTCCCCCTCTCTATCTTCCCCCACCTCTCTCCCTGCCCCCAATCTCTCTCTCTCTCTCTCTCTCTCTCTCTCTCTCCATCGAACACCAGCAAACGTTGAAGGCTCTGTTCCCCACCATCACA